GAATCTTTCCATGAACTTTTTGAAGTACCCTTCATATATATCTATATACACACATGCACACATATAGACATAATATATATACTACATACATATATATGCATGTGTGTATATATCATACATGCATACACATATGTATGTGCTTATATACATATATAAATATAGATGAACAGGCTCCAGTCTGCACTCTTAACTGCTATGCCATGACAGTAGAGTCCATGTAGAATTAGGTTAGTCCCTGGGAAAGGTGACACCAACTATCCTGCCCTTATGCTTCTTTTTGATTGTAGCAATTGATACCTTGCTGTAGTTAAGGGTATATTTTCACTGGTTCTTGTCACTGCCCTACAAGTAAGTTTAGAATTATTGATTGATGATTTCCTTTTTTCACAAATAAACCAACTACCTTATGGGGCTTTAAAAATGGCTCAGCGGGATCTTTTTCTTTCTTTCTTTTTTTTTTTTTTTTAATATCAAAGGCCAGTTCAGGCAACTACATTAAAAAAATGGGCCAGTGAAAAGGAGCCCATGGGACATATGGATCTATAGAAATCAATAACTTAGAAAGTACTCATGTGAATACATTAAAAATGATGTATTGACTAGTTGATGACACTACATTCTTCCTTCAGGGTAAAGGGAGACTCTGAAATAACCCAGCATTCCTGCTCTGTTTAAAGTTTAACATGTGTGATTCCCCCCAAGGCTTATTAGAAGAAGACAACCAGTGGATGACCCAGATTAATAGACTCCAGAAATTAATTGATAGACTGGAAAAGAAGGTGGGTGCTTCCTTTCCTTACTTCTCTTTACAAGTTTTTAAGGTATTCTGACCCAATATTCCTCATTGCCTCAATATCCATGGCTGCACCATGGATAGAATAACAGTCAGGATCCCAGTGACCTATGAATGGCTGCTTGGTAGTTATTTGGGGGTTTTGTGGTGGTGGTTGTTGTTAAAGCAGACATAGAAGCTTACATTAATTCTTCTCCTGCTCCCTCCCTCAATTNAATCCAAAATAGGAGAAAAGCTAAAGGAATCTTTCCTAGCTAATAGATAATAAAGAAAAAATTTTGGATGAGTAAATTAGTATTAGATTTGGCTGCCTGTAACAGAAAAAAATAAAAAATACCGTGGCTTAAACACATAAGGGTTTGTTATCTCCTATAAAGAAATCTGGTGAGGGCAGCCTAAGGCAAGTATGACATCTCTACAGATTTGTCACGGACCTTCTGTCTTTTTCCCATCTTAAATGCATATCCTTTATTCTCAAGTTTGTCTCATGGCCCATGATAGTTAAAGTTCTAGCTGTTATGTCCACATTCCAAACAGGAAAGAAGAATATGGAAAAATAAAAAGCTTTCTTCCCAGCTGAATTCCTTTAAGCAACCTTCCTAGGAGTTCCTTACAACATTTCCATGTGTATATCATGGGCCTGAGCTTTTCATATTGGGATAAAGCCTAAAACTGAAAAATAAAGAGACAGCAATTTAAGCATGTTATATACTGAAATGAAAGTAAACGCCATAGTTAAGGCCTTGATGAAAAGTGTTGCCTGTGAAAGGAGAGTGAGGGTATGGTATGGGTGTGGGAAGGGGGAGCTCCTGCTTGTTGAAATAAGATTTATAAAATTATTTGACATTTTAAAATATATAGACGTATAGCTTTGATACAAAAAATTAAATTAAAAACTGAATGAGAAAAACAAAACTCCATAGAAGTTCTCAAACTGAACAAAATACAACAGCAGCATACACATATATGTTTTTTTCCATTGATGATTTGGCCAACTTGAAGGAAAGAAGTTTTTCTGAAATTACAAGTTAAGATGCAATTTTTACTCAGACTTAATTTTAAGAATAAAGGAAGGCCAGAACTCTCTTCCTTAGGTTCACATGCCATAGTACCAGATTACCTTAAGTCTCTAGGGCGTGTTTGCAAGCAGTCATTCTCACAAGTTTTCTTTCTGCTGTACTAGAAAACCTTTGTGACTGACACTTGAAGGTCTGTTCCTTGAGGCAAGAGACTGAAGCCCTGACACTGAGGTTAAATGTTATCTCTGTTGTTCAAGGCAAGGACCAGCCAAGCCAGAAGTCCTGTCGATTCAATGGCCTGGAAAACGATCAAGCCGCCGAATCCAGAGACACAACAGCTTCTCCCCTAACAGCCCTCAGTTTAATGTCAGTGGTCCAGGTAATGCACCCTTCCTTGTTATCCTTTGTCAAAAATCAACTCAATTTGCATATTCCAATTGATTATTTGAACACACAGCAACTAAGACAACAATAGTAATGGAACACTCTCCTTATACTAAGTAAGTCTGAAACAAGCAGTGAAGTGTGTAGGGTATTAGAACTGCGGTGGTGATCTTAACCATCAATTCTGTCAGAATCCTAGCAGCTGTGCCTGGGAAGCACACAGAGAGACAGGGGGCTCCATCAGCTGAGAACCAGAGACCTGAGCTCTATACAGCTCCCCATCATCTTGAAGCAAAGTGGTTCCCTTTAGGCTCCACCCTAATATGCTCTAGATCTCCGGGGCCTCCCTAAGCAGACGCTAAATTCATTTTGGGAAAAGGATCCTTGTTTTCTTTCATGATGGTATTAGTCATAGCTGGTGTTTTTGAAGTTTATAATGTAAGATTTATTGGGCTAAACCTAACCTATAATTGTTAGGTTATTAAATTTGTAGTGTGTCACTTATAATTATTTGAAAATCAATTTGAAATATGCAAGATTGTGTTGCTAAGTATTTGAGTAATTTTTATAAACCATGCATATATATAGGCACACATATCACTTGAACATGTGGTTTTAACACAAATGAATGTTTAAATACCTAACATTTCAGAAAATCAAAGTACTGACCATATCCTATATTTATACCGATTATATTTGAAAGATTTCAGAGCACTTTCTTGAACACAGCCCTGTTTAATCCCAACACCTTGTAAGATATGTTAGTTTCCCCATTTCCCATTTAACAGCTGAGGAAACTAATGCCCAGAAAGTTAAGCGATTTATCTAAGGTCACATGGAGTATTAGTCCATTTTTGTTGTGAAACGACCTCGAAATCTTAGTATTTCCAACTGCAAATATTTGTTTTTCTCTCTCATGAGTCTATGGTTGGTTGTAATTTGGACGATCTCCAGTGGATGTGGCTCTAGGCGGTAGGTTGAGTTCAGTTCTTCTCATGTAGCCTCCCTCTGGGATAAGGGACAACCAAAGTGTTTGCTTTTCCTGGGGGATGTCAGAAACACAAGCAGCCAGGCCAAAATTATATAAGCATATTTAAAACCATAAGATGCATGCATGTTGTCTGTTAACTTTCTATTGGCCAAACAAGTCAGATGCCAAGTACAGTAACAATGGGGAGGGAATTATACTTCACCTGTTATAATAGGAAGTACTGCAGAGCTGTGGGATAAATGGTATGTACATACACGCTGTACTTCTATTGTAGGAGGAAGGTGAAGAATTGGGGACAATAATACAATCTACCACATGTGACTAGAAAATGACAGTGCTAGGCAAAACATAGATTATTCTTTCAATTTTAATAGTTCTGAAAACAGTATTAGTACAAAATATCCTTCCTAGAGACTTTGATGTGACAGACACGTTAAATCCTTTGGGAACAACCCAGATTGGAGGTATGTTAACTAACTTGTGACTTAAGAAGTAAACATAAAGTTTGTTTGTACATTTATAGTATTTTCTTGAAGCAGCCCTTTTCTCTCTTTTTTCTTTCTTTCTTTCTTTCTTTATTGTAGCCACTTCTTTGTAGTGTGCTAATGCTCATTTTTACATCGCAGTTTATTTGGTGGGCTTTGAGAGGTGCTACCCTCAAGAAGGCAGGTAGAGAAGTGAATTCTGCTGCACAGCACTACCACTTCATAATTTATTTCTTGTCTTCATTTCATTCAAAGCTAAAGCAAGGCTTTATAATCTTGAATTCAATCACAGCCCATTTCAAGAAATATTATACAATATTGCTTCAGCAAATGCCTGGAAAAACATTTTGAGTAAACTGCAGTAAGGATATGCAAGGACACCAGGATGTTTGTGCAAGGGCTCAGACCACAACTCTTCCCTTTGCACCTTTGCATAATAATATGAACAATGACAATAATTGCAGCAGATCTTACATTATTTTTAACCTGGTGCTGGATACCACATATATGAATTATGTGTATGTACACACACACATGAGGCTACTTCAAAAAATTCACAGAAAAATAGAGTTAAAAGATAATACGAATCTTTCCATGAACTTTTTGAAGTACCCTTCATATATATCTATATACACACATGCACAC